TTGAGCGATGGAGCGATTTTATTATTATTTTTTTTTTTTTTTTTTTTTTTTTTTTTTTGGACCATTTCTCGATTTATGCGTCATCCTTGCGCAGGGGCCATGCTAATCTTCTCTGTATCGTTCCAATTTTAACGGATGTCCCGAAGGACACGGAGATAGGTTTGTTAACTTTGTTCGAGAAGGAAATTTTTTAACAAAGGCGGAGAGTAGATTTACAGCTACAACTACTGTCTTCACCTGAATACAAAGCCCGGCCATTATAGCTGTATATGGACTGAAAGGTGCACGAAATACAGCTTTAATGACCGGACGTTTTATTCGGGTGAAGACGGGCGGTTGGTTGAACTGTTAAAAATTAAAATACACAGACCCAAGTTCCAATGCAATCGGATGCACAAGCGAGGATATGCATCCTTGGCACGCCCGTGAGGGGCCTTTACATCGTCAATTTTGCAAACGTTTGGTTGGCGCCAAGCAGTTGCCATGCGCCAGTTGGTTACATCCACCCTGCTTGCGATATTCAGAAACATTGGTGAGCCTTCTAGACGCTACTGTGGAAGCGGGGAACACCTCATGTTCACGCTGGGTGGTTGGCCGCGCCTGACCAATTCGGTCCCAGGCCACTGTCTGAACGGGCCTGGGCGCAGACACTTCGGCCCAACCTGAAGCTACTGGGCACACGCAGGCCCAGGCCAAGCAGCGAGCAGGCCAGGCCACTCCGATATTGGGAAGTGCCTGGCTGTGCATGAGGCGGGCACTTGGACGTGCGTGCGACAGCGCTGCTAGAGCATTAGCTCGTGCGTGGCATGCTAGAGCAGGGGCTGGAAGTGGTGAGTGCAGTCGTTAGAGGCAGGGCGCTGCCAGCAGGCAGCGCCATAGCCAAGCCCTCCAAAGCCGGGCTTGGCTTGGATGTATTCGGCACTTGGTGGAAGAGGCGGCAGCACTGCTTGAGCGTTCGCTCGCGCCTGCCTGTCTACCACTGGGTGTGGAAGACGCTTACACGGGCGCAAGAAGAAGGAGAGGACGCTGCTAGGGAGCAGCGCCGTAGCCTGGGCCTCCATAGCCGGGCCTGGGCTGACATAGCTGGCAGGGTTAGGCAGTGGTCTTCGGAAGGTGAAAGCACATGGGTGGTGAAGACAAGGGTGAGCAAGAGAGCAAGAGGGGAAGATGATGTGAGGACAAGTACCTGGTCTTGGCGGAGGTCTGCATGGTGAACATCTGCATGTACTTCGGTTGCTGCTGCTGACGTCAACTGGTTGCTTTGCCATTAGTAGGCAAGAGTAGTGTAGCTGTGTGATCGTAGTCTGGGCGCTGAGTGGCAAGTCCAAGGTAGAGCTTCAAAGACATTGTTGGTGGTGGCAAGAGAGTATGCTTTCATTGACAACTGAGTTCACAGCTTTGGTTTCTCTTTCGATGTAATATCAGCGCATTTCTTCTTTCTAGACAGCTTTCGACTATCTGGCTTTCATTCTGATTTTGCAATCTGGAATTCTGTATTTTGCTATTGCATCTGGACTGAAAGGTGCACGCAATACAGCTTTATTGACCGGGCGTTTTATTCCGGTGAAGGTGGTACGGGGGTTGGTTGAACTGTTAAAACTTAAAATATACAGACCCAAGTTCCAATGCAATCGGATGCACACAACGCAACCATTCTGAATTACCTGGGCCCAGTCAGTTAAATGGTGATAGCTCAAGGCCCTCGCCCTTACAAAAAAAAAAAAAAAAAAAAAAAGGAGGAAAAAAGAGGAATGAAAAAGATTTACAGCTACAGCGTCCTTCCCGACATCCATTTAAATTGGAATGATACAGAGAAAGAAGATTAGCATGGATGCTGCGCAAAGGCTAACACGCATAAATCGAGAAACGGTCCAAATGGAAAAAAAAAAAACAAAAAAAAAAAGATTTACAGCTAGAACTACCCAGCTATGCATTGTCACAAACACAACCCATCACCTCCGAGCCTCTTTTTCCCATCGCAGATTTCCACCGCATCCTGAAGAAAAATGAGCCTCCATGAGTCTGATTTCTCTTTGCTAGACTTTCGGCGCCAGCCTGTGTGGTCCGGTAGAACTGTTCATGCAAAACTTGAGCGGTACATTTTTATACAGTCTATCTATTTGTCAGGGGCGTGTAGCGGTGGCCTTTACAAAGGTCCGTGCAAAAGCGAGACTCCAGTTCTCGGTCAACGGCAAGGATCACCGCACCGAACCGTATTGCGATAGTGGTATGAACATGTGGGCCCCAGAATGGACAAGGGGCCAGAGCAGAATTTTTTTTTTTTTTTTTTTTTTTTTTTTTNTCTCTCTCTCTCTCTCTCTCTCTCTCTCTCTCTCTCTCTCTCTCTCTCTCTCCTGTCTCTTATACACATCTAGATGTGTATAAGAGACAGTCTTTTTTTTTTTTTAACCACTAGTACCTTTGCCGCGTGGGAAAATAGCGGGCGTCGGGTGGGCCTCCGACCTTTTCGGATGGCCAAAACGAAACGACCGCCGCCGATATCAGATTTATCAATGGCAGCCGAAGTCGGGCCCGGCCTCCGAATTTTCAGGAGTCTGGGAAAACTGCCAGTTTTCCCTAATTTCCCAACACTGGGCGAGGTACTAGTGGTTTAAGGCGGGAGGAAAACAGGAACACTGTTCACCAAAAACGATACAAGATAAGGTTCTGTTCTGCGCAACTTCGTGTTCGCATTCGGTGACCAAACCTGAAAACGTTTAAAGAGCGCCAAAACCCTCTGAACGTGAACATAAAAATAAAAACGCTCTCAGAAAAATGTGAAAGAAAAACAAATATGTTATGTAAAATAATAGTACAAACAACTTTTGCCCGAGAGGCATGTTCAAATTCTTAGCCAAACTCGAGTTAAAAATTGAGGGGGAAAAAAAAAAAAAACAATAAGTTTTTGCTTTGAAAAAAAATAATTAAAAAGACATATGTTCAACCGAACACGTTCGGGACGCGTTCGGCCGAGCATCAAAACGAAATTTTGAATTCTCTACAGAGGCGTGTTCGGGCATTTTGGCAAAAGCCACGAACACGTTCCGTGTGCTACACAGGTTCTGTTGTTTTTTTTGTTTGTTTTTTTTGAAAGGAGGGTGGAAAACAGGAATGCTGCTCACCAGAAACGATCGAAAGACAAGATTCTACTTTTTTTACTATTTTAAAGGAGGGTGGAAAACAGGAATGCTGCTCACCAGAAACGATCGAAAGACAAGGTTCCGCTTTTTTTATTATTTTAAGGGAGAGTGGAAAAGAGGAATGCTGCTCACCAGAAATGATCGAAGATAAGGTTCTGTTTGTTTTTTTTTTTTTTTTTTTTTGAAGGGAAGGGGGAAAAGAGGAATGCTGCTCACCAGAAATGATCGAAGATAAGGTTCTTTTTTTCGTTTTGTTTTTCTTTTAAAACAAAGGAAGGGGGAAAACAGGAGTGCCGCTCACCAGAAACGATCGAAGATTCTCTGCTAAGTCATTGAAACCATGAAGGAACTCAACTTGTCCAGTACGTCCCAATGAGTTCCAGAGATTATTCTGTACTTGCTCTATCTCCTGCTTGCGCTGTTCTGTTTTGGCCTTGCCTTTCTCTTGATACATTTGCATAGTATCTTCCGGATCGAGCAAGAAGTCGACACCAATCTGGCGATACATGGCACAACAGCCGTCGCAGTGACACAGCTCGAGCCTCCAATCCTTCTTCAAGAATAGCGCCCGCGGATTCTCCATCAAACGCTCGGTAATGCTTCCGTTAGCCGGATGATGATCGCCTTTGATATCCTGCAACAAACTCCCACTCACCTCTCGCTTGGTTCCACTGTCACAGTCTGCTCCTGCAACCACCCCATTGCCATGTGCCCTGACCTCGCACGGGCCCGTCTGGCCGTTGGCAACGCTGATGCATGTACTGGCTGCGTTCTGGTGGAAATGACCCGCAGTCCCGTTGCCGGTCCTTTTGGAGTCCAACTCAGCGACTGGGGTGCTTCCGCCATTCGCGCAATAATGGATGCGGCAGTCTCTTCGTTTCCTCTTACACCCAATTTGTCCTTGAGAAAGTCTGCGTCTGTCATCGTCTTCGTTTTCTGCTTTCAGAACTGCAAGAGATGGCTCAAGACCACTATGTTCTCCCGACACCGCCATGTCAGAGCCATTTTTGCACACAGGCATCTTCCCATTTCTCTCACATTCAACACCTTTGGCGGCGCCAGCGGCGTCCTCCTCCTCCGTCTTCATTCCCTGATCGTTCACGTGCGAACCACCATTTGTTTCCATGCCAGAGCTCGGCTCCCCGCTTGGCTCTCCCTTCACTGTAGCATCCCCATTTTCAACAACTCCGCCGCTACCTTGACATGGCGGCGGTGGAGCAGGAAGTGGGAATAACCGCAACTCCGGATACTCTTCGATAAAGGGAACCCTTTGCGCCACACAACCTCCACAGATGAAATCTTCAGACGCACTGTCATCTTCATGAGGAAGCTGCAACCACCATCATTTACATACCGTCAAAAGGCAAAAAAAAAAAGAGCAAACAAAAGCATGGTGTGTGAGAGAGATTTGAAATCATCTCAACCACTTTCTACAAGCGAAACACCATGCCTTTTTTTTTTTTTTTGAAGTCCAGATCGTAGTAGAGGCTGGATGCTAGGCCTCGGGAGGTGCCTGTCGTTGTACTTGACCAGTGGGGGGATCAGATGGCTTGTGACAGCCCCAAGGACAGTCTCCTCGAGGGGGCATCGCAAAACACCATGCTTTTCTCAAGTTCTATTTATTTTTTTATTTTTATTTTTTGGGGGGGAGGTAAGGGGCAGGGAGGGTCTGCGAACCCCGCTTCGTGTGATCGCCAAATTAAATTGGCCTCAAAGCGGGAGTAACAGTCAATGCTGAACCTGTCCATTTACATTTCATTTTCACTTGGAGTCATCCATCCAGCATGGTTGGTTCTGTGGGTGTCAGTGCATCAACTTTACCCTGCATCAGAGATTTGACACACGAAAGTTTCTCGAGTTTACCAAATTGAACGAGTACTATCTGTACTTTAGATCATCAAGTGAGAGACATCAGACACCAATATGGATGGGTGGATGGGTGGATGGAGGATGGGTGGATGGGAGGATGGGAAGATGAGTGGATAGGAGGATGGGAGGATGGGTGGAATACAAGTGGCAATGAGTGGGCGAGTGAGTGGGCGAACAAGCTAGTGAGCAAGGGAGCAAGTAGGAGAGCAAAAAAGGGGGCAAGTGACCGAAGGAGCAACCAAGGAAATCAAGAGAGCAGGATCAGCAAATCTTTCTTTGTTTTTTAGCTAAGCTATAGATTGTTCTCTCAAGTATACCGTACACTATCTACCTATATATCGTCAAACAGAGCTGCCAGGTAAGCCGTAGGCAGAGAGGGAGAAGAGGACAACAAACGAGGGGCTGTGACAAACTGTTCCGTCGGAGTTTCACTGGCTCATCAGGAGGCTGAACCCTATCTACCTATATATGACTAAGTACACCAGGAAGGAGAATCCAAAGGAGCAACCGAAGGGCTCAGCAATTTTGTTAACCGGTAAACCACCACTACCTTTCCCATACATCGGCTGTGGGCGAGGCCTTCCGAGGCCGGTAATGCAACAAAGGCCACCGGGAAAATCTATCAACGGCGGCCCAACCGACAGCCCGGCCCCTGAAAAATGCAGTATAGCAGTGTTGCACACCCCGACCGCCGGCGACCCTTGACTGGTCGGCACCTACCGGTCGGGGGTCGTCGGCACCCCACACAAAAAAAAAAGAAAAAAAAACAAAAACGTTTTGGGTCCAGAACCCCTAATAACGCCACAAACACCCCCATACCCACCACAAATACCCCCA